TGGTGGCGCAGTGGTTGGGAGTCCGCCTGCCGACGCAGGGGACAAGGGTTTGTGCCTTGGTCCGGGAAGATCCCACATGCCGCGGAGCAGCTGGGCCCGTGAGCCGTGGCCGCTGAGCCTGCGCGTCCGGAGCCTGTGCTCCGCAACGGGAGAGGCCACAACAGTGAGAAGCTCACGTACCGTAAAAAAAAAAAAACAAAAAAAAACACTGGGCTGAATGAAACACTGGTTTGATGAAGAATCTGAGTTACAGTGAGTACACAGGCAGGGGGAACAGGAATGCAAGGTATAAACAGGAAAAGGACGATGTGAGCTGATTACAGGGAACAATGGTCAAACTGTCTGGTATTTATGCAAAGCTACCGAAGAATATCTGATTTATAGTAAGACTAAATTTTGTGATTATAACACATTTACTAAACACTTAATGTGTGCTAGGCATTGATCTAGGCAATGGTGGACAAAAGACGGAAGGTCCCTGCCCTCATGATCCTTGTACTCAAACAACAGGTAAACAAACAATTATTTCAGGCAGTGAAGAGTACTATAAACCAGGACCATGTGTTTGCAGGTGATGAGAGCAAAGGGGAAAACTACTTTCAACAGGTGGTCAGGAAAGGCCTCCTTCAGGATGTAACTTCAGTACTGAGTCACCTGATGAGTCAGCCAGGCAAAGCTCTAGAAGAAGATGCTTTCAGGTTGAGTGAACAAGTAATATGCTGCCAGAGAAGGAAAGCAACACATGTGAGGGCAGAACAAAGGCCAGCGTGCTAGAAGCAGCACAGTAAGTAAAGGGAAGAATGGGGTAATAAGACAAGGTCAGAGAGGTAGGCAGGAGTCAGATGATGATGCAGGGCTGCATAGGAATTCAGATTTTAGTTTAAGTAAGAAATGTATATTAATAACCATAACCTTTATAATGCTAATGGTAGTACAAGTGATAACCATATTCTGTGCTTAATCAAACAAGTCCCAAACAGACCACACTGTACCAAAAAACGTGTATGTGTGTCCATGCTAACCTGAATGATAAAGTGGATCCTTAAGATCTAAGCAAAGATAGTGGCTGGTCACGTTAAGGCCAAACTACATTCTTTAAGAAACAATCTTACACTTGCATATGACTAATGTGCTACTTTACTCGCCTGAAGCAAAAAAAACCCCTAAGGAGTCATCTGCTTTCCTGGGTCCCATATACAGCTGCTCTGAAATAAAGTTTTGACAATTCGGATAATTCTATGGCTAACTTTTAACAATGAAAGATCACTTTGCCTTAAGCAAAGACGTGATGTATTCATTCTTCCCCTACATCTCCTTCCCTCACTTCCTTGAGGTTCTGACCAAGTGTCAGTTTTTCTAGAGAATGATTTTAAAAATACCAACCCGTGCTTCAGTGAAGAACAGTGTGTCCATCACCCCATAACAACATTCAAGTAAAATCAAGAAATGGGTGAACGGTTCCCTGGGCAAAAACTAAAAATGGGGGCTTCCCTGGTGACGCAGTGGTTGAGAGTCCACCTGCTGATGCAGGGGACGCGGGTTCGTGCCCCGGTCCGGGAGGATCCCACATGCTGCGGAGCGGCTGGGCCCGTGAGCCATGGCCGTTGAGCCTGCACGTCCGGAGCCTGTGCTCCGCAATGGGAGAGGCCACAGCAGTGAGAGGCCCGCGTACCGCAAAAAAAAAAAAGACCTAAAAATGGAGTCCCACAGATGAAAGCTACAACAAACACAATGAACTGTTAAATATGATGCTACCACATAAAAGACTACTTCAAAGATGAGCGCAAGATTCCACATCAAACCACAGTCATACCAGTGCTATAATCCTTTGACCTGAGTTAGTCTGGGGGACTGATACTTATTTGCCAACTATGGCAGCAATTCATGATCTTTTTTTTGGGTCAGAGACCTCCCTCTCTCCATAAAAATGAAAATAATACACACGAAGTATTATGTGTAAAGTAAGGAGTTCCGCCACTGTGGAGAACAGTATGGAGGTTCCTTAAAAAACTACAAATAGAACTACCATATGACCCAGCGATCCCACTACTGGGCATATACCCTGAGAAAACCATAATTCAAAGAGTCATGTACCACAATGTTCATTGCAGCTCTATTTACAAGAGCCTGGAGATGGAAACAACCTAAGTGTCCATCATCGGATGAATGGATAAAGAAGATGTGGCACATATATACAATGGAATATTACTCAGCCATAAAAAGAAACGAAATTGAGCTATTTGTAATGAGGTGGATAGACCTAGAGTCTGTCATACAGAGTGAAGTAAGTCAGAAAGAGAAAGACAAATACCGTATGCTAACACATATATATGGAATTTAAGGAAAAAAATGTCATGAAGAACCTAGGGATAAGACAGGAATAAAGACACACACCTACTAGAGAATGGACTTGAGGATATGCGGAGGGGGAAGGGTAAGCTGTGACAAAGCGAGAGAGAGGCATGGACATATATACCCTACCAAACGTAAGGTAGATAGCTAGTGGGAAGCAGCCGCATAGCACTGGGAGATCAGCTCGGTGCTTTGTGACCGCCTGGAGGGGTGGGATAGGGAGGGTGGGAGGGAGGGAGACGCAAGAGGGAAGAGATATGGGAACATATGTATATGTATAACTGATTCACTTTGTTATAAAGCAGAAACTAACACACCATTGTAAAGCAATTATACTCCAATAAAGATGTAAAAAAAAAAAATTAAGGAGTTCCAAGTCACCTGAAGAAATCTCTGATCTATGGTGTGACTATGCTGATGTGGGTATGTGGAATGACATCTGGTAAATCAGTATTACCACAGTATTCTAGAATAGGAGAAAAAGCATATAATCCTAGGGCTCTTACACTATAAGACACTGGGCTTTGCCCCTTATTATAGCTATATGAACCTTGGCCAAGTTACTTAACCCCTTCTAAGTTGCAGTTTCTCATTTTTTAAGATAAGGACAATACCTACAGCAGAGGATTCCTGTGATAACTGAAGCACTGTATAAAACACTTCACACTCTGACTAGCTCCAAGTACGTTCTCAAATGCTGTTATTCCTTAGCTCTTCCCCTTCAAGTCCTGTTTGACAGTGGTGTTTAGAGTATTCTGTAAAAGGTTACAGGAGAAGACAGAATTCTCCAGAGAACTGGGAGTATTAAATTTGACTTTTTCCCTCCACTTAATTTTGTCTATTCTCTCCAGCACAAACATCCGTATAAAAGAATCTGCTACTGGTTTAAAGGAGCAAATAGGATTAACAGGCTAAAGGGAAGAAACCTCAAATATACACAGACCACACTGGTGGTCTACGAGAACTGAAGAAACTGAATTCTGAATACCTTATATTTAAGTGATGGATTCTGTTTTCAACAGAGCCGTGAAAGCTGGGTCTTTTTTTTTTTTTTTTTTTGCGGTACGCGGGCCTCTCACCGTTGTGGAGCACAGGCTCAGCGGCCATGGCTCATGGGCCCAGCCGCTCCGCGGCATGTGAGATCTTCCCGGACCGGGGCACGAACCGATGTCCCCTGAATCGGCAGGCGGACTCTCAACCACTGCGCCACCAGGGAAGCCCTGGGTCTTTTAATTAAGTCACTAAACCATTATTAAGTTTTGATAGAGATGGCTCGCTTTTTCTGGACAAAGCACTTCAAGAGCACACACAAAAATCTGTTTTAAAAAGGAGTTTTGTGTGGAGGATAAGTGTAGCAGTCGGAATGGTGGAAAAAACAAAGTAAAATCCAGGAGGGCCATTAAGTCAAGACTCTTCATTGTCAGTGGGGCGGGTAGAAACTAAAAGGCAATGAGGTACATGTGGCAGGAACCAGCGGGGAGTCAAAACGCAAGCATCTTAAACATCATTTAGAAAAGACTCTCATAGCCTTGAACACAGCCCTGAAGAAGTACATTTTAATGCACAACTAAGACATATCTATATATGGATATGCTTGCCCTGACCTCATGTATCACACAGACATTTTCTATTCTACTCTATTCCACAGGGAAATAAAAATGCTGGTAGCTACTCACTAAACTGATTTCACAACTCACTTATGGATTGAAATCAGCGCTTAGAAAGACACTCAGCTAGGGTAAAAGTTAGGAACCTCGTGCCAAAAGTGTTTTCATAGCATTTAGCTGAAAGCAAAAAGGGAACTGAAAGGAAGAAAGCAATAAAGCACTTGTTTTTAAAAAGGTAGTAGTAATGCCATACCCAGGATAAGAGCCCTTGTGAGGATTTTGTCTGGACTGCCACAACTACTCATGAGCCTGGGGCAAGCCAATTTCTAGGTCTCCGTGAGTAGGGGGTTGGGTAGATGTTCTTGAAGGTCACAAATTTGAGAATTCTAAGATCCAGAAGCAAAATTCACTCTGGGAAAGAATGAAGTCTCAGAACACCACCCATCTGATATAAAACGGAACGCTGACAGTATCTAATGCATCAGCCAGGTGTTCAATTAGGCTAATTGAATTTTCTTGATTCTTGTGAGGCAAAGCACACCCTGAAGAGTTCTACAACCTACCTACCAGAATAGTTCATATCAGCACTTATTTTATAAATATCAGGCACAGACACTGCACACAGGGTCAAATGCAGAACTGGCCTAGGTTCCTCAGAGAGGGGCTGGATTTGTCCTCTAAGCTGAAAGACAAACAATCAAGGCTGGCGTGCTCTTAGCCAGCACCTGCTCGTCATTGGTTCATCCCATCCCTAACAGGCGTCCACATGTTTGTCTTGAGACATGAAGCAAACTCCTCAGCAGTAAGATCCAGACTAGAAGCTCTGTGTGGTGCGTGCATGTGTGTGGACCCAGGAGAGACTCGGGGGAAACAGGAAATAGAGTCCCGCAGCTCCATAAGCCTGCGCAAAGGGCCTGGCGCGGCAAAAAGCAAACCTACTCAGGGTCGAGGCAGCTAGTTAGAAATGGGGAACGAGGGCCAGAAACCAGGGAGTCAGCCCGGGAGATGGAGGGGCGGGGCAGAAACAGAAAGAAGAGTTACCATGCCGCCGAGCACTTCGTCCTGGTCGTCGGCGAGAAGCAGCACCACATTAGGCCTCCGAGAGCCCGCCGCCGCCCCGGAGACCCCCAGGCAGCCTCCCAGCAGCAGCAGCAGCAGCGGCGCTGAGCTGCAGTAGGGCAGGTGGCGAGGGCTGCCCCGCCGGGGCACACCCAGGGCCAGAGGCAGGAGCCGCATGGCGGACAGGGCTCCGGGGGGAACCCCGGGCGGAGGGGAAAGACGTGCAGAAGGCTAGAGAGCGAGAAAACCACGAGCAGCTGGAAAAAAAACACTGCACT